TCTCGACCAGTTACAATAACTAAGGGTAGCGCCTAAGTAAATTTGAAAGTCTCCACAACTTTTGTGTAAGTTGTGATCTAAAAATCTGCGCATTAGAGCTAGTTCTTGAAAATAGTGCGATTCAACAAAGGATAAAATCCGAATAAATGACGGAGCGATGGATGCTCGACCCTTTTTCTGACAATTGTAATTCCAATAAATGAAGTATGCGTTGACACGGATTTGCAGAAGCGACCTACACTCTCTTGCAATACGCATCAATCCATGGTTGGCACAGTAGGCTGAAGAGCGTCATTCCCGAAGTAAAGTTTTGTGTAACCTTCATGAGCTCGTCACAGCTGCAGCAAGGCTCTTCGTCCAAGGAATATGCCACGTTCCTCAAGGTGCCACTAGCGTCGCCCAGAGTACACCGTCACCAGTCCGCATCGCTGCTGTCGAGACTCTTCTTCTCGTACGCAGACGATATGATGCAAATTGGTAACATGCGGCAACTGGATCAGGACGACCTGCTGGTGCTAGATGACGACAGTCGCTCGGACGTCGCTTACGCCTTCTTTAAGCGGCACTACCACCGCCAAAGCCAGTCTATCGTCCGAGCTATCATACACGGCTACGGGTGGAAGTTCCTGCTCTGTGGGCTGGTATCGGCGTTCACGACGGCCTGCATTCTGTTAGCACCCGTTGTGTTGCACCACGTGATCGACACTTTCGCTACACCGGAGATGGATCTGACCAGTCTCGGGGCGTGGCTAGCAGCCTTTTTCACCTCTCGTCTCGCCAACGCTCTGGTGACACCACATGTAGATTTTCAGACCCAGTTGATGGTATTTCACATTGCAGTATCATTGCGAGCGCTGCTGTTCGAGAAGACCATGCGACGTAGCATTCAGAGCCGTAGTGATGACAAGGCTGTGGACGTTGCTAACATCTACTCTTCGGACATCCAGCGGGTGATCCAGTGTGCGAACGAGATCAACACGCTGTGGATTTTACCCATCCAGATCGGTGTTGTTGTCTACATGTTGTATGTAGTTCTAGGTGTCTCAGCGTTTGCTGGGCTTGTCGTCATCGCACTGTCGATGCTGGTTGCTTTCTTCTTCACAAAACAGACGAGCGGGTCGTACAAAGAGTTGATGAAACACAAAGATGACCGCATGAAACTCGTCAAAGAGGCGTTCGGAGCGATCCAGATAGTCAAGTTGAACGCATGGGAAGGGAAGTTTGAAGCGAAATTGCTCACTCTTCGTGAGTTAGAGCTCGTATCGCTTTCACGATTCGTGTACGCCATGTGTGGAACGATCTTCGTGTTGTGGACGTCGCCGCTATTCGTCTCGACTGTCTCTTTTGCTTTCTACACTCTGGTGATGAACCAGGTACTAACAGCTGCAAAGGTATTCACTGCCATTGCTCTGTTTAATCTACTTCGAGATCCACTGCGCGAGTTCCCTAGTATCATCCAAAAGTGCCTTCAAGCTAAGATTTCTCTGGATCGGATGGCAGACTATCTCGCTCTTCACGAAGTTGATCCATCCAACGTGACTCAAAATGATCCCTCCATTCCAGATGATGCTGCGATCGTGGTTGAGCACGGAACATTTGCGTGGAATGAAGATGCGAGTACAGTTTTGGCGGATGTGAGCTTGATAGTAGAGAAAGGTGATTTGGTCGTCATTCACGGACCTGTCGGCTCTGGCAAGTCTTCGCTGTGCTCTGCCTTACTAGGCGAGATGGAGAAAATCGACGGAAAGGTGTATGTAAACGGTAAAGTGGCATACTACTCACAGCAGCCGTGGATCCAGAATATGACCATCCGAGAAAACATCCTCTTTGGACATGCCTTCGACCACAACAAGTACCAGAATGTGCTGGATGTCTGTGGCCTTCTCCCCGACCTGCAGCAATTTCCCGGCGGTGATGCAACTGAGATCGGTCAAAAGGGAATCAACCTGTCGGGTGGTCAGAAGGCTCGTGTGAGTCTGGCACGCGCCTGCTACTCCGACGCAGATATTTTCATCTTGGATTCACCTCTCGCAGCAGTGGACGCTGTGGTTCAAAGCGAGATCTTCAGCAAGTGTATCTGTGGGCTGCTAGCAGAGAAGACGGTGGTTCTTGTCACTCATAACCAGGACGTTGTCGAGTCTGGCGTAGGGAGTTGCAAGGTATCAATGTCAGAAGGTCAAGTTTCTGTCGAGCGGCAAGAGGTTCCACTCCCTCGAACATATTTTTCGACGCAGATATCACCTGATAAGATGGAGAACGAGCCAAGAGCTACCAAGCATGATGATGATAGTTTGAAGGACACCGCTCGTCTGATCGAAGATGAAGAACGCGAGGAAGGTCGAGTGTCGGCGACGGTGTTTTGGCACTACTTCGACGCAATGGGAGGACTAAAAGTGTTGTTGCTGCTGCTGCTGATCCAGTCATTGTGGCAGGGATGCCAAGTCGGGAGTGATCTGTGGCTCAGTCACTGGACTGGTCAGAAGGGCAACACGTACGATGCCTCACGAACGCAGTATATCATGACAGTCTACGCATTATTGGGCGGAGGCAGTGCTTTGATGGTGCTCGCACGTGCTGTGACGACGGCTACTGCTGGACTCCGTGCTTCTCGCGAACTATTTCATCTGCTTACACATGCGTTGTTGTATGCACCATTAAGATTCTTCGACGCCAACCCGATCGGCCGGATTCTGAATCGGTTTGGAGGAGACATTACTGCAGTGGAAATCGACATTCCATTGGACATCGGAAGTCTATTGGTGGCAGGCTTCTTCACATTTTGCCAGCTTGCGACGGCCATCTACATTGTGAAAATATTGGTTGTGTTCATTATCCCACTCGCGTATCTCTATGTCAAGTTCGCAAAGTTTTACTTGATGCCGTCTCGAGAGATTTCACGGTTGCTGAAAGTGGCGTCTTCTCCAGTTCTCAGTCACATCTCACAAGCCGAAGAAGGCGTTACTACGATCCGAGCTTTTGGGCCGGAATGTGTGGATCAAACGATTGCTAAGAACTTTTCACGTAATGATGTGAATGCTCGCGCTTGGTTTTGCGATTTTGTGGTATTGACGTGGTTTCAACTTCGCATGAAGCTCATCGGCTGTGGTGTTGTGATTGCTGTGGTGTCATGTCTGGTCTACCTTCGAGACTATCTATCACCGGGGCTTGTTGGTGTTGCGTTTACTTACGCATTGAGCATTGACAGTCGTCTC